GAATTTTATGCAGCCATGAAGAAGAACGAAATGTTATCATTCGCTGGTAAATGGATGGAATTGGAGAACATCATTCTGAGTGAGGTTAGCCTGGCCCAAAAGACCAAAAATCGTATGTTCTCCCTCATATGTGGACATTAGATCAAGGGCAAACACAACAAGGGATTGGACTATGAGCACATGATAAAAGCGAGAGCACACAAGGGGGTGAGGATAGGTAAGACACCTAAAAAACTAGCTAGCATTTGTTGCCCTTAATGCAGAGAAACTAAAGCAGATACCTTAAAAGCAACTGAGGCCAATAGGAAAAGGGGAACAGGAACTAGAGAAAAGGTTAGATCAAAAAGAATTAACCTAGAAGGTAACACCCACGCACAGGAAATCAATGTGAGTCAATGCCCTGTATAGCTATCCTTATCTCAACCAGCAAAAACCCTTGTTCCTTCCTATTATTGCTTATACTCTCTCTACAACAAAATTAGAAATAAGGGCAAAATAGTTTCTGCTGGGTATTGAGGGGGGCGAGAGGGAGGGGGCGGAGTGGGTTGTAAGGGTTGGGGTGGGGGCAGGGGGAAGAAATGACCCAAGCCTTGTATGCACATATGAATAATAAAAGAAAAAAAAAGAGAAGCACATCCATCACCTCAGGTACTTATCATTTCTCTATGGTGAGGACATTTTTTATTTCTCCCTTTTAGTTATTTTTCAATATATAGTACATTATTAACTATAGTCACCTGATGTGCAATGAAGCACAAAAACTTAGTACTCCAACAGTAACTTTCACTTGACAGTATATAATAGCACCAAAAAAATCACAATGTATACCATAAATATATACAATTATCATCTATCACTAAAAATGAAATAAAACTTTTAAAAAGTGGTGAGATAGCTCTGTGGCCACTCAGTCCACTCACAGTGTGTAGCTTTTATTATATTCAGAGTTGTGCAACAATCACCACAATCAAATGTTAGAGAATTTTCATCACTCCAAAAAGAAACCTCACACTCCTCAGCAATCCTCCCCACTTGCCTATCTTTCCCAGTTCAGCCTTACAGTATGTGGTTAGCATGTAGTGTATATAATGTTTTCAGGTCCATCCATGTTGTAACATTTATCAGTACTTCATTCCTTTTTTTCTGCCACATATCATTCCACTATCTAGGTGTGCCACTCACCAGCTAATAGGCTTTTGAGTTGTTTGCAGTTTTTGTCAGTTATGAATAATACTATTAAGTATATTTATGTACAAGCTTTGTGTGAATGTCTGTTCTCATTTTTCTTGAGCATACCTAGGGTAGAATTGATGGATCATAGGGTAACCCTATGTTTAGTTTTTTGAGTAACTGCCAAACTGCTTTTCAAAGACATTAAACCATTTTACATTCTCAAAAAAATAAATAAACAAATAAATAAAAAGTAAGAGGATGTAACAAAAATATGCCATGAGAATAATAATGACAGAAATCAAGAATTGTGGCATTTAGTTCATAATGAACAGCCATGAAATCAATGAGGGTTATGAAGAATGAAGAAGAGCATGGCATAAAATAAAGGAGACAATTCTCCAACAACTTATAAAAAGCCAAGTGTATGCACTAACCAACAGTATCAAAGTATGTGAGGCAGAAATGATCAAACTGCATTGAGAGACTGGTGAGTCCACTGCTACCATTGGATTTACGAACACCCTGTAACAGAAACGACAGACTGGGAAGGGAGAAAACTACTAAGAACATAGTTTGCCTAAACATCAGGACCAATCAAGAACATATATTGTGCAAGCTGTTTTAGTAATTAATGGACAAATCACACATTCTTTGACCAGTCCACTGGACCACTCACCAAGATAGACTGCATCAAAGATATAAAACACACTTTAGCACACTTATGAGAATAAAAATCATCCCATGTTTTCTCTCAGAACACAATGGAATTAAAGTAGAAATCAATAACCAAGAATAACAGGAAATTCCCAAAATACACGGTAATTTAATAATGTACCTTGAAATATATATCCATGACTCATGAAGAAAGATCAAGAGAAACTTTGAAATACTTTGAAAATTCAACTTAAAACACAACTTATCAAAATTTGTGTGAATCCAGGAAAGCAGAACTTAATTGGAAATGTAGAGCATTGAATCCATAATGTAGAAATCATAAAACATCCAAAGTCTATTACTTAATTTTTCACCTTTTAATTAAAAAAATGAAGGCAAACTAAATTAAAGTAAGTAGAAATAAATGTGGTATTTTTAAGGAGAATAAAAACAAGGGAAAAGTTACAACAACTACAAATTACAAGTGAGTATCAATAGCTTAGTAGCTCTGAGGGCATTGAAGTCTACGAATTACCCAAAGAAACACACACCCAAAAGAATCCCATTGCTTAAGGACATGCAATGATGATGACCAGGTGAAATGCGCAGATTTTTCTCCATTTTTTAACCACACAAAATAATGGGCTTCTCTCCCTTTGGCAGGAGGGAAAATAGGTCTTTTCTGGGGGTTAGTAGTAGTGGGAGGTAGGTGGACACAAGGAAAGGGGGAACGAGAGAGTGAATATGGTAGATGTATTTTGTATCCATATACAAAAATAGAAGGTTGAAATTGTTTTAAGAAGGAGGAAGGGAGGAAAAGGGAAAACAATGGAGGGGAAAGATCTAAGTAAGATATATTGTAAGCACATATGCAAATATTACAATGTATTCCCTTATACAGCTATTATATGCTAACAAAATTAAAAAATAGGTTTCTTTATGACATTTTCATACATTTATAAATGAATGTTCATCATGTCCACCCATAATTAGCCACTCTTGTCCCCCCTCCACCTCTTACTGGCCCTCTTCCTCTCCCCAAATCATGTCCCTTCTGTTTCTATGAAAATGAAGAGATATTAATCTCAGAAATGATCACAAAAGGCAAAACAATGTGTTGAAATTTCAATTATTTATGTTAACAGACACTTCACCTATGAATAATTCATAAAATGAGAAGTAAAGTAACTATTGCTATGTGCATAATGTAAAAGTTTAGAAACAATGAAGACCAAACATACATTATGACAGAGACACGCAAGAAAATGATGTGGACTGAGTTAGTTAGAATAGATAAGAGTTTATGTAGGCACAGATGTTGGCCATGTCCATGTCCAAGGAGAAACATCCCTGAGACACCTACGAAGTCTAGTGCACAATCTACAGCCTGAGCTTACCCTGTACCCCTCAATTCTTCTGTTTCTCTGGGATCCCTTCTTGTGGGCAGCTGGAAACACTACTGTAGGTGCGACACAACAGTTTTCCACTCATCTTCTTCACTTCAGAAACACCCAGTGGTCATGAGAACAGATCCTGAAGAGAAACTCCTAGTGCTAATTGAACTCTCTCTGACTTGTTTGCTTTTTGAAACTGGGTCTGTTGGCTCAAACTCATGGTCCCCTCTACTTCAGAGTACTAGGATCAGAGGTACACACCACCAGGCTTGCTGTGAGCTCTCTTAATAACAAGCTGTATGTACACAGAAATAGAGAGAGAAAACCAATGAAGGAAAAAGTGATCTCAAAAACTAATACATGTATACAGAAGGAAACCATTTTAAAAAACACAAGTGGAGAAAAGATTGATTTTCAATTAATAGTCCAGGATGTTTAATAGCTATCTGGAGGAATTATATATAACTTTAAAAGCATATAACTCACAAAATCAAGCCAAATAGATTACAGACCAAACTATCAGAATAATTTACTTCAGTATATATAATGTAGATTAGGAAAATAATTTCATGGCAAATGGATAGAGTAAGCCGGACACTGGTGGCTCACACCTGTAATCCGGTCTACTCAAGACGCAGAGATCAAGAGGATCACAGTTCAAAGCCACCACGGGCAAATAGTTAATGAGAACCTATCTCAAAACAAAACAAAACCCATCACTAAAAAAGGGCTGATGGAATAGCTCATGGTGTAGGCCCTAAACTCAAACCCAAGTACTAGTACTTATACTAGACCTAGAAATTGTTTATTGTATTGGAGAAAAGTTATCCATGCACAGTTGATATGAGCAAGACTACAGAGACAGGCTGGAGGGGGCTCTTCGTTCTTCTTTTCCTTTCTTGCAGGACTTTATCACAGATTCAGAACTAGACCAGGGAGTGGCAATAGTGACTTTCTCTTGACATGTGGTATGGACTCAATGAACTAGTAAGATGTAAAACTCATAGACTAAAGCTTGTTGTCAAACAACTGTTAACTAAAAACTTTGGTAGGTAACGAAATTAGATGCATAAAAACCACTAAGTATTTGGGAAAATTAAAAAATAGGTATCAATTATAAAATATATCTCCTTTATGTCACACTGAAATATTGAAACAATTGAAAAATTATGTTAAAACTGTATAAACTCAGTACTGGTGGCTCACGACTATAATCCAGGCCACTCAGGAGGCAGAAATCAGGAGGATTGTGGTTTAAAGTCAATCCTGGCAAATAGTTCCGTGAGACCCTATTTCAAAAAAAAAAAATCACAACAAAGGGCTGGTGGACTGGCTCAAGGGATAGCCTTGAGTTCAAACTCATTACATCACCAGAAACAAAGGAAGGTTTATAGAACAAATTCTGGTCTTTGATGATGTTAATCACATTATGGTTGCCTCTGGTCAGGAGTGACTTCACAGTACTAATTTATAATTCATCTCTTTGAAAGATCTGAAAATTTTCCCTGTAAGTTCCATGGGATACGATTTTTTTCTCTGTATCTGTCCCTTTCTTTGTAAAAACATGAGGACTCATCTGCTGTGTTATTTAGAAAACATGAAATATAGTTTCATGTGTTAACAAACCATTCCTAGTCATGGTCTTGGAGGTGCCTAGCAGAGAGCTGTGAGTAGGAACAGTAAGCTGTAGGGTGAGTGTACAATCATTCCTGCTGTGGAATTCTTTGTGCATCACCTGTACAAATATAATTCAGCCTTTTTCCAGGGTTAGGATGCAGGGTTAAGATGTGTTGTGATTTACTTTCCTTTTGTTTTCTACCAGGCTTTCTACATCTGTACACAACACCCATGTATCATCAACTTACCTTCACCTTTCAAGTAAGTGGGGTTTAGAGGTTCATTTTCAAGTCTATTTAAGCAAAAACTGCCCTTATCTTCATAATTCCTTTGTTAATTTTATCATCTGGACTATGGCACCTCTTCTCTGGGTGTGGAGTTTGGCAAAGGGTAACACAATTCTTTGAGGGTGTGAAATGGAAAACATGACTCTAAAGAATTATTGATGGTGTTTGTAGAAAGAAAAGTACTCAATCATGTCAATATTTTAGTTATGGCAAAGTGAGCCAACTTGTCAACTGATGTTCCACATGTTTAGGAAAATGTTCTTATTTCACAATTAAGCTGGGAGACAGTGGCTCATACCTGTATTCCTAGCTACTCAGGAGGCAGAGATCAGGAGGATCGAGGTTTTGATCAACTATTTGCCATCCTGGACAAATAGTTCATGAGACCCTATCACAAAAAAACCCTTCACAAAAATAGGGCTGGTAGAGTGGCTGAAGGCGAAGGCCTTGAATTCAAGACCCAGGACCACAAAATAAATAATACAATTAAAATGGTTTTCTTGAAAGCTTGAAAGTATGACTGTTAATTCAAAGCTTGAAAAAGAATATCCTACATGACAAAAATACATTCCTGCATGCAGAAACAATATTTATGCTGCCTATGTCTGATGCTAATCTTCATTGCTTTTACAATTATTTTTAAAATTTTCATTTTAATTGACCTGTAATAATTTTCTCATGTATGAGGTATAGTATCATAATACAACACAAGCATATAATATGCAGTAATCAAAAAGCATTACCATCACCTCAACTATGGCAATTTCTATGTACTGTGTCTTTCTTGGCCCTATTTTCAACTCTAAAGTTGAAAATATTTGTAAATAAGCATTGCACTTAAAGTTATTTTACATGGGATATGTATCAAGAATTCTAAAATCTATTTAAACAATTAGATAGGCAGTAATCAAATAAATGAAGTAAATTTTCTCATTGGTGGAGTGGGATATTACATACAGTAAATGAAAATGGCTAGATGGATTTGCTTTTGTGGTGTATTAGTAGGTCACTTTAGAAATTTCATCCTATTCTTCCTGTCTCACTCACAGGAATATAAACATAGCAAAGAGAAGAAAGGAATTAGATGAAACGGACTACAAATGCAGAAGCCAGGTAAGGGAGTGTAGAGTCAGTAGGGAGAGCTTTATCATTGGAAGAGGGCACCAGGACCAACCTTACATGAATAAAATGGAAATATAAGATAGGACATTGGTGGTTCATGCTGGTAATCCCAGATACTTAGGAGGCTTAGATCAGGAAGATCACAGTTTGGGGCCAGACTGGTCAAATATGGAGGCTCCCTCTCCAGAATACGCAAAGCAAAATGGGCTGTAGGTGTGGTTGAAATGGCAGTGTGCCTGATTTGCAAGCATGTAGCCCTGAGATCAAATCCCAGGCCCTCCAAAAAAAAAGAGAGAATGGAAGAGAATTCAAGTCCCAAAGATGTGACAACAAGCTGGGTGTAGGTGGCTCATGCCTGTAATCATAGTGGCTCAGGAGGCAGAGCTCAGGAAGATCTCAGTTCGAAGATAGCCCAAGCTTATAATTCTGGAAACCCTATCTCAAAAAACAGATCACAAAAAAGGGCTGGCAGAATTGCTCAAGCATTAAGAGTGCAGACCTTGCAGGCACAAGTCCCTAAGATCAACTCTGGTGCCAGCACAAAAAAAAATTCCAACAACAAATAAGATGATCTAATGAAATTGAAACATTTCTAGAGGGACAAAAACACTAATTAAATGGATTACAAAACAAAGAAAAATCTGAATGTAATAAGAAGTTAAGATGAAATAAATAAAAAACTTACCAATGAAGTAGTTCCTATCAGAGATGACTGTACAAATCTCTCCCTATGTTAAAGAATAGTTCACATATTCTTAAATAAAATATAAAAAGTAAACATAAGAGAACACTTTATAAATGACAATATCAGTTTACCCTGATTCCAAAAGTAGATGAAATAAACTATCTCTGTTTACAAATGACAAGGCAGTGTGTGTAGAAAACACTATGAAACCCACAAAATACTATTAGATCTTAACATGAGTTTAGGAAGGCTGAAGTACAGGCTATGGTTTGGATTTGAGATGTCCCTTCAAAAGGCTTCTATTTTGAAGGAGTTTTTCACAGCATAGCAGCATACAGAGCTGGGGGCTTTTGGGTAGTGATTCAATCATGAAGACTCTGATTTCATCCTTGGAATGATCTCTTGATGTATTTATAATATGGTGACATTAGTGGTAGATGGTTGAAAGCAGGAGGTGGGAGCTTCTTTGAGGGAAGGGTCACTAGGCAGTATGCACTTGAAAGATATACCTTGCTAAGAGATAGTATAGACAAGTGGGACTTGATAAAACAAAAAAACTTCTGCAACAGAAGAAATGGTCTCTAAACTGAAGAGATGACCCATAGAGTGGGAGAAAATCTTTGCCAGCTACACATCTGGCAAAGGACTGACAACCAGAATATACAGGGAACTCAAAAAACTAAACTCTCCCAAAATTAATGAACCAATAAAGAAATGGGCAACTGAACTAAACAGAACTTTCTCAAAAGAAGAAATTCAAATGGCCAAAAATCACATGAATAAATGCTCACCATGTCTAGCCATAAAGGAAATGGAAATCAAAACCACACTAAGATTCCACCTCACTGTGTTAGAATAGCCATCATCAAAAACACCACCAATGACAGGTGTTGGCGAGGATGTTGGGGAAAGGAACCCTTGTACACTGCTGGTGGGAATGTAGTACAACCACTCTGGAAAAAAATTTGGAGGTTTCTTAAAAATCTAAACATAGATACGCCATATGATCCAGCAATCCCACTCCTGGGGATATACCGAAAGGAATCTGACACAGGTTACTTCAGAGGCACCTGCACACCCATGTTTATTGTCACACTATTCACAATAGCCAAGTTATGGAAACAGCCAAGACGCCCCACTAGTGATGAATGGATTAAGAAAATGTGGTATTTATACACAATGGAATTCTACTCAGCCATGAAGAAGAATGAAATCTTATCATTCACAAGTGAATGGATGGAACTGGAGAACATCATTCTGAGGGAGGTTAGCCAGGCTCAGAAGACCAATAATTGTACATTCTCCCTCATATTTAAACTTTAGATCAATGGCAAATACAGCAATGTGATTGGACTTTGATCACATGATAAGGCAAGAGCACACAAGGGAGGTATGAGGATAGGTGAGAAACCCAAAACATGAAAGTAATTGATGTCCTCAATGCAAAAGAACTATGCAGAAACTTTAAAGCAACAGAGGCCAATGGGAGATCAGGAACTAGAGAAAAGGTCAGTTCGAGAAGAATCAACTTAGTATGTAACACATATGTACATGGAAGCAATGCTAGGAATCTCCTTGTATAGCTATCCTTATCTCAACTATCAAAAATGCTTTGTCCTTATTATTATTGTTTATACTCTCTCTTCAACTAAATTAGAGATAAAGGTGGAACAGTTTCTGCCTGGAAGTGAGGGGGGGGGAGAAGGAGGGGCAGGAGAAGGGGGGTGGAAGGGGGTAGAAATGACCCAAATATTGTATGTACATATGCATAAATGAAAATAAATAAATAACTAATTCAAAATCAATTTTAAAAAAAGATATACCTTGCTCAGCCCCATGCTACCTTTTCTTTCCTCTGGTATTAGGGATTGAATTCAGGATCTCAAGCATGCTGGGCAAGTACACCACACTTGAGCCACACTCCTAGCCTTTGTGTTTCTCGGTTTTTTTGAGACAGGCACTTGCTACCTTTTGCCAAACTGGCCTTGAAGTTATGATCCTCTTGCATATTCTGTTGGATAGACTGGGATTACAGGCATGTGCCAAAATGTTCCCATGCTTCACACTTCCTCTCTCTCTCTCTCTCTCTCTTTCTCTGTCTCTTTCTCTCTGCTTCCTGTCTACTAGGAGCTGAACTGCTTTGTTCTACCAAATGCTCCCCAGCCTCCCCAGGTCTGCAAAACAAATAAACCATGATATATGGACTGAAACCTCTGAAATAATGAGACAAATTAAATCTTTACTCCTTATAAGTTGTTTCTCTCAAGTATTTGTAACAGCAATAAAAAATTAATACACTTAAATATGCATAAATCAGATTTTTGTGTATTATTTGTTCATAATATAAAAATAAAAACTAAGAAATGAATTCAACTTAAAATAGCATAAAAATCACACTCCCTAGGAATAAACTGAACAAAATAAATATAAGACATACACAATGAAAACAAGAAAAGTCACTGAGAAAAGTGAGAAACAAGAATAGAAGGGTAGATGCATGCATGGGTCAAGTGGTAAAGCTCATGCTTGGACAGTACAAATTCTGAGTTCAAAATCCAGATATCCCCACCCCAGAAAATTAAAGGAGACTTATCTAAATAGAAAAATACTCCTTGTTCATTAATCCAAAGACTTACTATATTTTAAATGGCGATGATTTTGATGTCCCTATCAAAATTCCAAGTGAGTTTGGTTTTGCATAAATTGAAAACTGAATATAAATGCATAAGGAAATACAAGAAAACAAGAAGAGTCAAAACAACCCTGTGAAAGAAGATAAAGTTGCAGTGCTCAACTCACACTTCCTGACTAAAAATTTAATACTGATAAGCAACAAGACATTGTGACATGAAAATAAAGATGGAGCAATACTACAGTGATAACAAATGAGCACCAAAATGTTAACCCTTAATTTTATGGCATGTGATTTTGTAAATGTGTCAGATCAACTCAATGCAAAAAAATATTTTTCAACAAAAAATATTTGCTAGGGAACTTGGACTCTTCCTTCATATCATACAAATACTGGTATAAAAAAACCAGTTCATATATCTCTTAGAAATGAAAGAAAGCCCAGAATGGATAGGTGAGAGATGGCTGATACTCTAGTATAGGGTTTATTGTAGAGAAGTTGCCCTGTGGAGGGGGTTCCAGCAAGAGAGCTGGAGCTTCCAGCCACTTACAGACAGGTAGTATTTATAAAGTGGGTGGAGCAGCCCCAGGAAGGTCACTGGGCTGGATAATCCTCAATGGTCCTCTGACCCTCAGGAGATCATGGCTTAAGGGTGGGTTTTCCATCTCGGCCAGGTGAGGAGTTTCTATTAAATGGCTAAAGGTGTATGTCTATTTTTATTTAGGGCCGGGTGGAGAGTTTTCAACATGTCACCTTCAAGGTGGAGGGGCCCAGGCGCCCTAGCTCATGCTTGTAATCCTAGATACTCAGGAGGCAGAGATCAGGAGGATTGAGGTTCAAAGCCAGCCCAGGCAAATAGTTCATGAGACCCGATTTCAAAATGACCAGTCACAAAAAAGGACTGGTGGAGTGGCTCAAGGTGCAGGCCCTGAGTTCAAACCACAGTACCACAAAAAAAAGGCAGGGGAGAGGGAAGGGGTCCATTTCTAATATGGCTTCCTTTTGTTCACCCTAACATTCCTGCCTTTTGATATATATCTATAAAAGGGAATGGGATACCAGATGTTCCTCTATCCATTTCTGCTCACCCTAACAATACCTCAGTATAAGAATAAGAACTATGAAACTTATAGATGATAGGAACACCCAAATGACAAGTGACACAAGAAAAAAAAGTGAACTGAATTTCATTAGATTGAACATATTTTATTATTCAACTGGCTCTCTCATAATCTTAGCTACTCAGGAGACACAGAGGCTGGTAGAATGGCTCAAGTATAAGAGTGCCTGCCTAGCAAGCCCTGAGTTCAAACCTCTGCACTGCCAAAAAACTCCTTTTCACTGGGCACAAGTGGCACACGCCTGTAATCTTGGCTACTGAGAAGATAGAGATCAGGAGGATCACAACTGGAAGCCAGTCTGGGCAAAGAGTTCGTGAAACCCTATCTTGAAAAAACTCATCACAAAAAACGGCTGATGGAGTGGCTCAAGGTGGAGTCCCTGAGTTCAAACCTCACTATGGCAGAAAAAATGCAGGAAGAGATCAAGAGGATAGCAATTTGAAGTCAACCCAAGCAAATAGTTCAGCATACCCATTTCAAAAAAAACCCATCACATGGGTTCTTAATAACCCATATAAATATGATAGGAGAATAGATTAATACATTTACGTATAATGATATATTGATATAGTCAACATGTTTTTTGTTCTTATTTTATATTCCACTTACCACTTTATATTCTGTTAGCCATTCCTTATTTTGGGGTTTTTTCTTTGGAAATGGGGTCTCACCAACTATTTGCCCAAGTAGGCCCTGACCCTCGATCCTCTCACTCTCAGACATTCAAGATACTAGAATTACAGGCATGATGCAGCAGTGCCCAGCTGAGAGAAAATATTTTCAGAATCATGTGGTTGACAAGAATTTATTTTTAGAATACATAGAAAATTATTAGAAGACAACAACAAAAAGAAAAATATCCCATTAAAATGGGTGAATGAAAGCATGGGGACATGACTCGAGTGGGAGGGCACCTGATTAGCAAGCTCCAGGCACTAAGCTCACAGCATGGCATCTGTTCTGCATTTCTCTATCTGTCTTTGCTCTAAGCCATTCTCTTTGAAGTCACTTTGCAATCACCTTGAATTCCAAGAAAGACAGATACTAACATCTTCATGACAAGGGACAGAAACTACCCCCAACAGTAGACCTTCCTCAGCATGGATCACCTGCCAGTTGAAAAGGAACTCAGATAACACCTCTTGGACCGCTCCTGAGATAATGACCCATCAGAGTGCACCTGTGATTGAACTGTTTTTACATACCTTTTGTCCCCTAGCCCCAGTTCTTCACTATTTAACCCTATCACTCATGCTTGTGCAAGAACACTCAGGTAGACATAATGTCACCAAATGGATTGAAAAAGTGCCTGTGTCCAGTTTTCCATGAATAGAGACAAAGAATGGAATGACAATGAATCAAAGTAACTGTTTTAGAAATCTCATCTCTAAAAATCTACAGAGAAATATATCAAAATTTTCAAAAAGAAGTAAGTAATATATTCCAATCATCCAGATTTTCCTGCCTTCCTCTGTGGCAGTCCCCACTCCACATCCCCACTAAACTGCTTGCCACAGGGAAGCCAGAGGCAGTCATGTTCCCTGTTTTATCTTAGTAAACCACACCCCACCTCACTGTAACACTTCTAGGAGGGGACTGGGTGTGGCTGAAGTTCCAGCTGGGCTGAATTTAGCAAATAAGCTGGGCCATTCCTGACTTTCTATAATGTAAGGAGCGGGATGATGGCCCTCTTCTTGCTGTGCCTTTGCAGACTTGTGCTCCTGCACCAGTGGACACAACGAGGCTGTCTTACATTTCCCATGTGTGTTTTAGGGTTTTTTTTTTTTTTTAGTACTGGGACATGATCTCAGGGCCTTCAACTTGAGCCACTCCAGGAGCCCTATTTATGCAAAGGGTTTTTCGAGATAGGATCTAGCAATCCTAGTTAGTCCCAGTTAACCTTGAACTGTGATCCTCCTAATCTCTGCCTCCTGAGTATCTAGCATTACAGGCATAAGCCATTGGCACCCAGAGTGTTTCAGCCTTGATTGTCAAAACCAAAAATGAAAACAAGACATGGTCCTCTGCTAGGTGCCTGGCTCACACCTGTAATCCTAGTACAGATCAGAGGGATCACAGTTGGACACCAGCCAAGGCAAATATTTCAAGAGACCCAGTCTCACAAAACTCATCACAGAAAAGGGATGGTGGGTTATCTCAAGGTGTAGACCCTGAGTTCAAACCCCTGTACCACAAAAAAATGACTAGGGCCTGTGGCCTCAGTTAACACATTTCTCAGAGGATGCATAAAAGTTCTCCCTGACATTTCACTATTACATGCAACACACCATAGCAAAGATTCAGATTAAAATAGGCAAGTAAACAACAACAAAAAATATAACCATTTATTCCAGGCACGGGGCAGGTTTCTAGAAAAAGGAAAAAATGCACACTGGACCACTACATAAAAGATCACGGAAAAATTATTTTCTTAAAACTGTACCCGATACCCCTCCCCCTCCACAAGACGGTGTCCATTCTGCTTTCCCTGGCATTAACTTCAGACACCCAAGTGTTCCCAACATGCACATAGCTCCTGCACCAAGGAACCCTCTCCATCTAGCAGACATTTCAGCCATCCCAACATGCACTCTTTCCCACTCACATCAGAAATCCTGGCACAAAACGCTGATCTCAAACAGACTTGCCTATTTACCTCCAAATCCCCTGTTAATACAAAGCGCTAAACCTCAGCTCAGCCCTGACCTTCACCTTCACTGTATACACCCCAGGGCCATGTAGACACATAAGGGACCCTCGCTGAGGTCGGTCACCTTGGCGTACCATCACCCAAAAGGCGGCATTAAGTGCCTTTCCCTCAAACTGTGTAGTGGTGGCTCTCCCTTTTTACGACACACCACCATCCAAAAACCGTGTCTCTGACCTGATGGGCAAACGTCCACCATGAAAACACCGGTGGTAACAGGGCAGTAGAGATGGGGCACACATGGCACTTTGCCAGGAAAAGGCAGGACGGTATCGCTGAGTCAAGACTCCAAGATTACCAGGGACTTTATTAAGTGCAAGTTCTACAAACTCAGAGCATTTGGAAAATAAAAACAAATTCTCACTAGGATCAGAGACACATCCACGCTGCTGATCTCGTTCGGTCCATCCACCCAGTGGCCTCTTGGGTGGCCTCTCACCTCTGCACAGGACTTGCATTTCAGAGCGGACTTATCAAGCCTTTGCCAATCACAAGCCAATGCCATCTATTCTGTCTGTGGCCCTCTCTGTTACAGGACAGGGTCCCGCTGTGCTACCTGACCCGAGATGCCTGGGCCTAAAAGTTGGAGGCAGCACAGCACCTACTCCCTGTCCACAAATCCTTTGTCTCTCAGGAGAGATAATGTTGATATTTAGATTTTTTTTCCTCTGATCAGAACGCAGCATCTTGTGCTTGTGGCACAAGTGCCCTACCACTTGAGCACGTCCCCTAATCCTTTTTGCTTCACTTTGTAGAGCTTGTTCTT